TGGCCTCAGACAGGACTGTTCTGCTGTCATAAACCCTTACATGGCCCCGACTGTGCATCTTTTAATAGAGCCCTTTTCCTTCAAACTGAGATATATCTCAACTTAGAACAGTAGCCTGTTTTACTCCATGGCTTAGAGGCCAGCCGCACAGGCTAGGAGTAAAGGCAGCTCAGATAGAGAAGGGAAGACCAAATAAAGGGTGTTGGGAAGATCCACCCAGGATGGGAGATGCATGCTGAAAGTAGACTATAGACCGAACATGATTGCCACTCAATTCCTCTTTTGCAAACCACAGCACCCAAAAGGAGAGAGAGAACAAAATGGAATGCCCTAAAGTAACAAAATATGAGATTAATACCCAAGAATAGCTGAGATCAACACCAGGAGGATTACTCCATAGCTTAGAGGCTAGCCGGGTATTCTAGGGGAAAGGGCAGTTCAGATAGAGAAGGGAGCACCAAATAAAGGGTGTTGGAGGATCCTCCCAGGAGGGGAGATGCATATTTAAAGTAGACTATGGACTGAACATGTTTGCCACTCAATGCCTCTTTTGCAGACCACAACACCCAAAAGGAGAGAGAGAACAAAAGGGAATTCCCTGCCACAGAGGCAAGGTGGGAGCGGGGGGATGAGAGGGGATATTATCCATGGTGGTGGAAAATGGGCACTGGTGGAGGGATGGGTATTTGATCATTGTATGACCGAAACCCAAGCACAAAGATTTGTAAATCTACAACTGTACCCCATGGTGCTTCACTAATAAAAAAAAATGGAATGCCCTGCCACAGAGGCACGGTGGGATAGGGGGATGGGGGGTGGGAGGGATACTGGGATTAGTGGCGGTGGAGAATGGGCACTGGTGGAGGGATGGGTACTCGATCATTGTATAACTGAAACCCAAGCACAAAAATTTGTAAGTCTTCAACTGTACCTCATGATGTTTCACGAAGAAGAAGAAGGAGGAGGAGGAGGAGGAGGAAGGAAGGAAGAAGAAGGTGGTCCTGAGGGGCTGGAGTGATAGCACAGCGACATTTGCCTTGCATGCGGCCAACCCGGGTTGAATTCCCAGCATCCCATATGGTCCCCCAAGCACCACCAGGAGTAATGCCTGAGTGTATGAGCCGGAGTAACCCCTGTACAGCACCGGGTATGACTCAAAAAGCAAAAAAAGAAGAAGAAAAAAGAAGGAGGAGGAGGAGGAGGAGGAAGAGAAGGAAGAAGAAGAAGAAGAAGAAGAAGAAGAAGAAGAAGAAGAAGAAGAAGAAGAAGAAGAAGAAGAAGAAGAAGAAGAAGGAGGAGGAGGAGGAGGAGGAGGAGGAGGAGGAGGAGGAGGAGGAGGAGGAGGAGGAGGAGGAGGAAGAAGGAAGAAGGAAGAAGGAAGAAGGAGAAGGAGAAGGAGAAGGAGAAGGAGAAGGAGAAGGAGAAGGAGAAGGAGAAGGAGAAGAAGTAGTATCCTGAGTCAACTTTTATGAAAGTATATGGCAACACCCCCTCCACACACACACAATTTATTCCTACACGGTACCAGATTACAGATGCCCACTTCTCATCTTTTGATTGCATCTTCATACCCCTCATCCCTGATGTGTTGTTCTACATGCATCTCTTGGAGAGGGTCATTGGCATTGGTGGCACTTGCAGAAACTTTGGGGTTGACTATACAGTAGTGATGATCCCCTCCAACAGATCACAAGTTTCTCTCTGAAACTCTGATATAATTAGGACAGGGGGAAGACTTGGTAAGTCCAGGAAATTTCTAGCTGTTGAAGGAAACAGGAGCTCTGCCATCTGCAATGCACGGTTTGTTTTTTAGCTTCTGACGCCTATTCCTAGAGTGAATTTTTAATCTACAAAGCACTGCTCAGATGAGGGCCAGACCACTCAGAGAGTCAATCACCTGGCCCCATACTCAGCATCCTGGTGGTTTCAGCCTGCTGGGAATTCTTACTGAGCCCAAGGCTAGAATGAGCCCCTGTGGTGGGGGGCAGGGGTTGGGAACAAGATAGAAGCAGAAGACAGCACTGTTTGGACTGGTTGTTCTTAAGAATCTCAGTCAGATGGATACACTTGCTGTCCTCAATCTCTAAGAATTGGTGCCAGTTCTTGAAAGAGGAGGTAATTTAGTGGCATGAAAGCATGTCACCATAGATATTTAAGTTAGTTTACACATTTAGAATTTTCCGATGTGAGTCATTTTGGAAAAGGTTATAATTTGTTTTCAAAGGTAAATTTGTCACCATTTTAGAAAAATATAGAAAGCCTCCCAGCTGCTATTTTTTTTTACAATCCAGTTTTGCCTGAAATACTTATTTCTTCTGTAGAATAGATAGATTTTTTCCCAGAAAATATAATATTGACTTTCTTTCATTTGTTTTTCAGTTCCTTTACAATGCTACCTAAAGAAAACCTGCTTATATATGATGACGAGAACTCTGCTCTAGTGGTAGTAATAGTTGTAGTAGTAGTAGTAGTAGTAGTAGTAGTAGTAGTAGTAATAGAAGCAGCAATACATAAAACAGTACTTGCTGAAGTAGAAAAATTAATGTGGGAAGCTGGATTTAGAGGTAACATAGAAATGTAAAAAGAAACCAATCTCACTTAACAAAATATAAACACAGATGGCTTAATCTGTAACAATATCTTAGTAATTTATTATAGAAACGCTTAATGTCTCCATGTTGAGATACAACAATTTTCACTAACTTTCTTCTAAGGAAACATTTTTTGGGGGGTCACACCCGGCAATGCACAGGGGTTACCTCCTGGCTTTGCACTCAGGAGTTACTCCTGGCGGTGCTCAGGGGACCATATGGGATGCTGGGAATCGAACCCAGGTCGGCCACTTGCAAGGCAAATGGTATTATATCGATACCGACTGTGCTATCGCTCTAGCCCCTGCACTGCATTGTCCTCTGTTGTTCATCGATTTGCTTGAGCGGGCCCAGTAATGTCTCCATTGTGACAATTGTTACTGTCACAATTGATATACTGTTTGGCATATCAACTATATCACGGGTAGCTGGCCAGGCTTTGCCGTGTGGGCAAGATACTCTCGGTAGCTTGCCAGGCTCTCCGAGAGAGGCAGAAGAATCGAACTCAGGTTGGCCATGTTGGCTATGTGCAAGGCAAATGCCCTACCCGCTATGCTAACTTTGTTTAAAAAAAATTAATAAAAAAAAAAGCTACACAGACCCAGGTTAGCACCCAGTTCACACCAACTGATCATTTTGGACCATGATATGTTAAGGATTAAGTGAAAACATATGAAGTACTATGCCTTAATCCTAAAAGTTGTTCACTAGCAATAGACATTCAGTTCTTTTCTCACGGGTGACAGACTTGTGAATATACTCTCCTTTCAATATACAAATCTTCCTAATCAATACATGATCTTGCAATTTAATAATAAATCAGTTAAGTTAATATACTCCAAATATTTGAGATTAAGTGGTATTATGTGTTGGTTATTTCACAAACCTCTTATTTTTAAGTAAAAATAATTATAAACAGGAGTAAATTTAAAACTTTTCAAGGTAAGTATCAGTTTTAGCTGTTCTTTATTCCAACTGCTGAGTGACTGTTGTAATGTTGCCCTGACAGCATAATTTTACCAGAGTTATGTTTCCAAACAGGAGTCATAGTAATAGCTACTTATAATTATTTGGTTTTATTTACTCCTCACAACTAGGAGCTATTTACTATTATCAGTGATCACTTAATATATGGCGTGGGGAAATTAACAATGAGAATGTCTTAAATACTTTTTCTATATTAAAATTAATTGTCACTTTAGTTTTATACTTATTTTAAATGAGCAGGTTTTCTTTATGATTCAAGTATTAGTTGGCAGTTTCTGGAATTCACAGCTCAATTAATTCATTTTGAATTTCTGAACTTAAACCACCAGAGGGTATATTAGTTTCCATTTTCAGCTCCTTGTTGCATTACTTTTCAGTGTGTGAGTCCAGGCACTTTGATGATCATGTTACTCTTTTTTTTTTTTAATTGAATCACCTTGAGATAGAACTTTACAAAGTTGTTCATGATTGTGTTTCAGTCATACAATGTTTCAAACCTATGTGGTGCTGGGGATTGAAACCAGGGTCAGTGGGAAGAAGACAAAGGCCTTGCCATCTGTACTACATCTCTGGTCTTCAACTTTTTTTTTAATTAATGAAACACCATGAGGTACAGTTATAGACTTATAAATTTTTGTGCTTGGGTTTCAGTTATACAATGATCAAGTACCTATCCCTCCACCAGTGCCCATCCTCCACCATCACGGGTCCCAGCATCCCCCCCACCCCCCATCCCCCCCGTCCCACCCTGCCTCTGTGGCAGGGCATTCCCCCTTGTTCTCTCTCTCTTCTTTTGGGTACTGTGTTTTGCAAGAGAGGCATTGAATGGCAATCATGTTCAACTTTTTTTTTAATGAGAAAATAATGTTGATGTCTCACACAAATTTGGAGTGACTTGAAAAATTCACTTTTCTCCGGGGGGGTGGGGGGGGAAACAAGCTCTGTCTTGGAGGATTCAGGGAGAACTGAAGGTGCTAGTTTTCCCTATTCACTGTGAGATATAGCTACAAAGCTTTCATGATCGAGTTTCAGTCGGATAGTGTTCCAACACTTGCCCCTCTACCAGCATACATTTCCCACTACCAATATGCCCTGTAGCCCTCCTGCCACCCCCCACCCAGCCTGCCTCTATGGTAGGCACCTCTCCTCTCTCCCTCTCTCTCCCCTCCTCTCTCTCCCTCTGTCCTTCTCTCCCTTTCTCTCTGTCTTTCTGTCTCTCTCTGTCTCTCTCTGTCTCTTTCTCTCTCTCTCTCTCTCTCTCTCATACACACACACACACACACACACACACACACACACACTGTGGTTTGCAATACAGATACTGAGAAGCCATCGGGTTTGGTCATTTGCCCACTTTCAGCATACATCTCCCATCCAGAACTGAAGTTTTGCTTCTTCTCTTGCTCTGTTGTGTTTCTCCAGGTCGGACTCATCTCTGGCTCAATCTTCGTGATGCTCGGATTGACTGTTCTGGCAGTGGGCTTTCTTGTGCCCCCCAAAATCGAAGCTTTTGGCGAGGCCGATTTTGTGGTGGTAGACACCCACGCTGTCCAGTTCAACAGTGCCCTAGACCTGTGCAAGCTAGCGGGAGCTGTCCTCTTCTGCGTTGGGGGCACGTCCATGGCGGGGTGCCTGCTCATGTCGGTATTTGCCAAAAGTTACTCCAAAGAAGAAAAATTCCTGCAGCAGAAGTTCAAGGAACGCATCGCAGACACGAAGGTGCACACCCAGCCCGTGACACGAGCGCCAGGGCCAGGAGAAACGAAGATCCCCGTCACTTTGTCCAAGGTGCAAAATGTCCAGCCTGTATCGGCCACCTGAACCCTTCTCCAGCCCCCACCTCCCTCTCTGACCCACACGCACGGCCAGCATAGCACAGGACAGGCTTGGACACAAGGAGAGGGAAGGGCCAGGAACTGCTCAGTAGGGCATCTCACACTTGCCTGGTTTGGGGGGGTTGTGGCAGGTCCGTGCCACATGTCCACCTGTGTGCACACACCTAGATGCTTGTAGGGGTGTTTCTGTCTGTCCCCGGGAGCCCTCTGGAACTCTCCCAATCCATTGTGACACAGTGTCTTTCTACGTAGTGTTGGAAAGTGCTCCCCGACGTACACCAGCCTCCCAGTGGCTGCCATGATTTCTTTTCTGATCTAGTTTTGGTTCCCGATCTTTCCTGTGTGGTGCTGCCCCACCCCAACTCCTGTCTCTGTGTAGTGTCACGTGTGTCCATAGAAAAAAAACTGACCTCCCTGAATCAGACCCAAACATTTGTCTTTGAACTCTAGCTTAAGGTGACAGTCCTAAGATTGGGTCCAGAGGTAGCGGTATTTTAAATCTCTTTGCTTTCTCAGGCTGGGTTCTCATTTAGAAAACTAAACTTGACATCTTTGGAACCCCAGAAAAGAGGGGACAAATAGGAGCATCTCATTAGGCAGTGCTCCCAAGCACTGTACTGGAAGTCAAGAAATTGGACTTTCTTCTGCTACATAGCTGGGGAGACCAGGGGGAAATCATTGATTTCCTAGGTGACCATTTCCACAGCTGTGTAAAGAGGGGTCCTGACTATGAAATTTGGACTTTTTTTGCCTAGGTGTCATCATGATTCCCCCATGTCACCCCAGAATCTGGGTGGGGTCCTTGTGGCTCACACCCCCTGGGATTTTTTTCAGGCCTAAACTTCTAAAAAGCTGCTAAGTCAGCACCTCCCCATAACCCACCCTGATAGCTATCCAACCCAGCAGTTTATAGATCTAATGCTATCATATTTTTGTAATGACAGAAGGAAGCCATTTTCCAATAGGAATGCCCCCCCCCAAAGTAGATACAAGTTTTCAAACGGTTATTTTTTCTTGAATAAGAACACTTTCTTTAGCAAGGTGTTCACCTCATCCTTTTGCACTTTTATGTCATCTGTGGATTTAAATGGAAGACAGAAGAAAATGGAAGACGTGACCTTGGTATTCCCTCTGAGTGGGTGCCCCTTCAAGTTCTGTCTTTTTTATTTCTCCTCTCCTCCCTTCACTGGATAAATAAAATATGTGAGCAAGCGGAACCGGGATTGCATTGTCATTCCTTCAGTGTGACTATTTTCTGGACATGTAATTTTCCATTCTGAGGCTGAATGAGCTCTGACGTTCCCCTGGCTAAATGAGAAAATAAATGAAGCAATTAGTGCTCTCTTTGCACCCTGCTGACTTTGGACTGTCCAGCATAAAACACAGAGCAAATCAGCATCCTCAACAAGGTGCATTCGTTGCCTGGTGTTGGGAGAAACTATTCCAGTTTCCTCCAGGTCTTACCTTCCTCTGGAAATACTGTTTCCATTAAGTCCTTGAAGCCCCAGTCAAACTCCAGTGCATCTTTCCACAAGTCTTTGGAACTTTTCTGTGACTGCACAGTCTGACCAGCCAGTATTGCATGACCAGGAACCTGGGGGTCCTGATGAGTGTTTTGAAAGTATTTTGAAAATTCTGGATTGGACAAATCTGAGCCAATAGAATACAATGGGGTCACTTCTCCTGAGATGGGCTGCCTCACCTTCCAAACTATAAGTCTGTTGTAGCTTTTCCTAATCCCAGAGTCCTAAGTTTTCAAGGGTAAAGAGGAATAGTGGACTGGATTCGGCGGGTGTACAGGGAAGAAGAGAGGGATGAAATTGGGGAAAAAATTCTTTGGCAGTGGTAACAGTCAGCCCCACCAATTGGTGCCCCCCAGCAGAAAACATGAACCCCCATATCCTAGCTTTATATTAGTACGGAGTCAGCACCCTGAGCTGAACAGTTCTGGAGAGTGGGCCCTCCTGTTTGACTGGTCAAGTCCCTCCATTTCTTTGATTGACTGTATAGGCGGGCAGGGCACTTACCTTGCACCGAACAACCCGGCTTTGATTGATTCTCTTTGTCTTTCTAAGCCTCCCATGCTTTGAACCTGGTTCCATAATTCAGAGTTACTTACAACTGTAACCTGATTAACAAAGCTTCACTTAATGCCAGCACCACCATCACTGCCACCCCTACCATCGCCTCTGTCCCCAAAGGGGGCAAAACTAAAGCTTGACCACTGAGCTACAGCACCAGTTCTCCCACGTTATGAATTATTTTTCATTTAATCTAATTCCCATTCCTGAATCCCCACCCACATGACAGAGCCTGGCAAGCTCCCCGTGATGTATTCGATATGCCAAAAACAGTAACAACAAGTCTCACAACAGAGATATTACTGAACCCACTCGAGCAATTGATACACAACGGGAAGACAGTGCTACAGTGCATTCCTGAATGTCTTAAAAGGATGGTCTTTGTGTATGTTCTTATGTTCTTCAGTTATTTTGTCCATGCCACCTATTAAATGGTGTGTCTAGAATTTTTAAATTTTAACAAGGTAGAGAGCCCCCCCCTTTCATTCATTGCTTGACTTGCCATGAGCACAGCACCTCAAACCCCGTTTAACAGACACTCCTTCGTATGTCTCCAAGACCTCCTGTGGTCTGATCCAGCTCCTGGCCCATGCCCCAGCACCCTACCCTGCCACTCTGTATTCCAGATGTGCCCATGCTTTTAAGCTGTTATTATTGTACTCTTGCAGAAATAACCAGCTGACCATTCTCTGGTACTTGAATGCGTCATTCTAGGTCACATGGAAAAATAATAGCAATAAAAAGAAGAGTTAATAGGCACTGAGTGGAAGGCAAAATTGAAGCATTATTGAAAAGATGACTTGTCCAGGGACAGGCAGAAAGTGACCGAGTCAGGGTGCCCCTCCTCTATGCACCTTGGCTCCAGAGACTGCCCTTTCATGGAATATGCTCTTCTGTCTCTAGAAATATCACCTCTCTGCAGCTCTCTCCTCCCCTACTCGGACTTAATGTCTCTTCATCAACCTAGCCAGCTTTTGGACAAACACATTGTATTGCACTCATCTCTCTTTATTATAGTAATTTGTTTATACATCTGTTTCTTCCATTAGAGGACAGACTATTAGCTGCTTGTGTACAGAAAGCATGTCATAATGAGTGGTGAACCCTCAAAAACAAATACATAAAAGGTACGAGACACAGTTACATCATCAGTTAAAACAATCACTGCATTTCTTTACTTGGGTTCAGGCAGTGTGCTGGCAGTACGGAAAAGAAAAAGATGTTTGATAGAGGTTAATATCTTTGTAGACCGTGTGTGTGTGTGTGTGTGTGTGTGTGAGAGAGAGAGAGAGAGAGAGAGAGAGAGAGAGAGAGAGAGAGAGAGATGAGGAAAAAGAATTTTCTGGAATGAACTTACAACTTAGATTATAGATTTGGTTATTTCAAAGCAAAACTCTACCCAACCTAACATTTGGACTGAGGTAGACTATTCTAATGATGAAGTGAAGTTTACACTATCTAAAGAAAAAACCTCCAGCCAGAATTCTGCTTGTTGACAAGGAGAAAGTCATACCGGATGATACCTGGTACAAATGATGGAAAACTCCATCTCCCTAGTCAACAACTGTCACAACTGTCCAAAATAAACTCCTTAACTATAGGACCATAATAAGAATCATCAGATGCCTGAGGCTGACCTTGAAAGAGGATGTCCATATGGATTTCAGAAATTAGAGGATAGTTTCCTTAAAGCAGTGCTCAGAGAGCCTAGAGGTCATGCCTAAAGTGATGCCTGAAGAACAAGGTCATGAAGTTCAAGGCCAGGGCCTGAAAATTTGGAGTCAGAGACCTTCAAAGTTGTCCTGAGTATTACTGTGCAAGGAGGGACCTTCAGGGCTATACCAGATGGTGTATGGTAGGGGTAAGGGCCTTGCAGTGTCCAGCTACTAACAGGCTCCAGCTCTAGCTATCTCCCCAGTTCAAAGAAGAGTTTGGGGTTGTTTGGGGGAGTACAGTAGGAGCACAGGTTTGGGTCACATCTATCTTGTTCCTGGCTCTGTGCTCAGAGATCATTCCCAGCAGTGTTAGGAGTGAAATAATAAAAAAAAGAGCAGAAATCAATGATACTAGAATTAAAATGATTCAAAAGGGTCAATGAAACCAGGAGCTTGTTTTCTGAAATCCTTAAAAAAAATTAACAAGACTAAGTTATTATCACAAGGGGGGGAGAGATAAAAAATGCAAGTGATGTCAGAAATGAAAGTGAATGAATTCCAATAGATATATCAGAAATATGAAAGGTGATAAGAAAGTGTCATGTACAACTTTATACTACTAAGCTGGAGAACCTGAAAGAAAGGGATGCATTTTTAGAATCATAAAGCCTCACAGACTAAATCAGGAGGAAACAAACAAAAAGTAACTGAACCGAATAAAGAAATAAGAAAATTAAAACAATCATCAAAAATTTTTCTAAGAACCCAGGTCAAAACAAGTTCACTAATGAATTCAACAAACCTTTAATGAAAAATTTACTGCTTATACTTTTCATGCTATTCCATAATATCAAAAAAATAAGAATTCTTCCCAACTTCTATACAGTCACCATTACCCTAATATCAAAATTAAATATTTAGTATAAAAATTAAAATTTAGTCGTGACATTACTGATGAAGAAAATTTCTGGCCAATATACCTGATGAGCATTAATGCATAGATCCTTAATAAAATATTAATAAACTGAATCCATCAATATATCAAAATGATCATAAACCATGATCAAGAGGATACTTTTCAAGGATGCAAGGATGGTTCAATATTTGCAAATCAAATAAGGCAATAGATGATATTAACAAAATGTAAGACAAAAATAATATGATCCCATCAATATATGCATAAACCCCTTTGACAATATTTAACTTCCATTCATGATTTTTAAAAATTCCTCATCAAATTAAGGATAGAGGAAATGTACCTCAAGATAGAAACGACTATATACAACAAGCACACTGTGAACATCATACACAAGGGAAAAAAAATCTGAAAATCTTCCTTCCAAGATTAGACACAAGACAAGGATGACCATTTTCTCTATGACTCATCAATACAGTTTCAGGAATCCTTGCCACAACAATGAGGCAACAACAACAAAAAAATATTGAATGGATTCAAATTGAAAAGAAGGAGTTAAACTGAAAACCTTAGAGATTCCACTAAAATCTTTTCCAGAGGCAAAAAACCAATTCAGCAAAGTTGCAGGTTAGGACATTGTTGCATAAAAATTCCTTGTATTTCTATATGCAAATAGTGAGCTAGAAGAGAAATCAAAAAAGACAGATTAATTTAAAAATAGTCTCCAGAAAACAAGCAAAAGAATAGGTGTTCATGGCCAAATTACCCACTTGACAAAGGAGGTGAAAGACTTCCACAGCAAAAACTTGAAAGTCACTTTTGAAAAAATGGCTTCTCTATGTTTTTTAAAAAAAGAAAGGACATTAGAAAAATGGGAAAATATTCCATA